ATATGTTACCATAAAACTTATTTGAGTAATTATTCTTTTGTTTTCCATAGTGGACTATTAGGTATATAATATGCATCAGAAAAGAATATCCCACCCATGCTTTCAATTCCACCTGAACAACAGTACAACTTGTCTTTTAAATTTATTACTGTAAATGAAGCATTCTCTATTTTACATCATTTTATTGTAAGTTTATCATCTGTAAACAAAATTGTCTTATATTGACCATAATCACTTCATTTCTTAGCATCCATTGCATCATTGTTATTGATAACAGCCAACATGTATTGAAGTTGTCTCCTCTAGAACTTGGAATACAAATGTTAACACCACTGTTAAGAGTTTACTACACTATGTAATGTATTCAATGTTCATTATTTTCGCTGAAATATTCTAATCTATCCAATGAAAAAATACAATACTTTTACCATTTTAGATTTCATTTTACTTACATATATAAAAAGATATTACTGGATTTTTCATTTTTGAACAATTACCATATTTATTTGAATAGCAGCTCCCCCTTTGAATTATAAAAATCCCCCTCAAATCGTCACTCACATCACAAACTAACACAATCAAAGTAGATTGTGTTAGTTCGTGAAACAAGAAAGCGCGTCAAAATACGCGCTGTTGTTGTTAAGGACTTTTTGTGTGGTAAAGAATACAAAATTGCTTGACAACCAATACGCGCTCATTTTGACACGCTACTGTGATTTCACGAACTAACACAATCTACTCTGATTGTGTTATTTCGTGATGTGAACGACGAAATAAACCCCTTCTGGAGCCTCATTTGGAATACACGTCTCCCATGAATATAAATGCAACGGTTGTTTCTCTTTCCCTTAAATAAATGCCCCACCCCATTAAATGACTGTAAGCACATCTAACAGAACATCATTCGCAACACTAATATTCTACTCCAGTAGAATTCAATTTTTCTAACTTGATTATCTTCAATAAGTCACTATGAATTATAATCACCCAACACCACATTCTGATGGTTATTTTGTGTTGCAGTAACCACAATTACAATAAATTTAAGGGGCAGTTATTAGAGTAACACATATCCATTTTACACCAAAAAATAAATGCCTCCTTTGAATATTAGTTGTTACTTCAATTCTGGTATATGACTTCAATTCCGGTATATGGTCCCTATGGACATAATTATCTTCAGTGTAATTAATTAATTATGAATTGTAAACTATTTTCACTATTTTCGCTTTTTTCATATTGCACAAACCAGTGTTGGCATCGGTAACAAAATAAACTATATCTATATACTGTATTTATTTTATTGCTAGTGATTTTTAGATTATGGGATATTTTTAAGTAATAGGGACTTATAAGTAAACCCTATCAATAAAGATTTTTTTTTATATAGAGCAACCTTGAAAGACTGGGCTTTTAATTCCAAGTAATTATTTTATTAGTAATTATTATAATGCTAATTTATGTTAATAACAGCAGCATAAAAATATATGCTGTATAATTTCAGTTTTATGTTAACTTTATTTTTATATAGGCTGCCCTCCAATAAAAGACCACTTTTGTGACTAAGGTTGGTAGACTTAAACACCATCTGCTCTAAGTAGAAAAGTAATAGCTCTAAACAATAAAATGATAAGTGTTGCAGAAATTGCCTTTAAATTTAGGTGGTATATTTAATTAGAGGGAAACCTGTATTTATCAAATTTATAACTACCATTTATTTTGTTGTTATACTAGGCTTCTTATACTCAAAATTATATTAGATTATAATTATTGTAATCTGACATTTATTATATAATTACAGCTAATTAGATTAGCTTGCATGCTTAATTAATGTTGTACTTGCTTTATAAATATACATGAAAGAAAGAAAATAAATTCTTATTTTCAGACATATATTATACCAATATTTATTTTGTTATATTGTAATCCAATGGAGAGTGGAGAAGTATTATCAATGAAAAAAAAAGGAAGAATTATTAATTGTATTGATTAAAACAGATAATTTCAATAATAATAGACATTTCATTGCCATATCATTAAAACAAACATTTATTAGGATGTGCACTGAGTTTAATAAAGTTATGAATGTCACTCCAAAAATATATTCTACATTTCACTTCATCATCAGGAATAATAATAACACATAATACAAAGTGACAAACAGTACAAGTTATTTATTCTTAAAAAAGTAATCAAAATTTAAACCTAACAAACACTAACGTTTTTAAAATTGCATCATAAAAGCATATCAATCTAATAACAAAAACTGTCGAAAGTCAAAATCATAATAAAAATAAAGAAACACTTTTTTTCCCTGAAATTTCCATTTTTTATTTGATTTGATTTGATTTATTTCGAAATTCTCACAACTAAACAGAGTACAAAATTAAACGAATCAAACAAAAATAAGAGAATTTCAGGATAACCCTTCAAGCATTTCTGCTTGTTTCCGAAGGGGTCCCGTTACAATAATAATAATAAACGCAACAATGACATATAACAAAAAGAAGGCCATGGCCTAAAATAAGCAACAATGCAAACAAATACCATACTGAAACAATTAGCTTCGAAAGAGAATTCTAAATAATTAATAAGGTAGGACAAAGATTTAGATATGTAAATAACATCATCAATTAGTATTACATTTAATTTCATTATTATTTTACAATAATGTTACAAAAACAGTGGTGGCTGATATCTCTAATTGGCCAAAAACAATTTTTTTTAAATCCTAAATCATCATTATTGGCAGGTGGGATGTTCATTTAACAAGGTATAAAAAAGTCTTGCAAACACACTGACACCGAAAAATTAAAACTCTTGATAAATACTATAGAAAGATTGCAATTCAATTAATTTGGCTAGTAATGTTACAATAACCAGTTCAAACTATTTATAATAAAATAATATTAGTAAACCATTTCTACAACATTCCATATATACATTTTTAAAAAGCATTATTATTATCCCATGACATCAAACATGAAAGATATAAAACAAATGATGAAAGAAAATAGTCATACAACAGCAAAGACATTCTGCAGAAATAAAATGCCACAACATTGGTTAGATCAACCAACAATGTACTGTACGAAGAGATAATGATTAAATGTTGGATTGAAAATATTACTTTAAGATGAGTATTTTATAATAATTGGTTATATATATTTTGTTTTGCAATACCAAATGAAAAAGTAAAAAATATATATGGAATGAAATTTAAAAATTAATATTTTAATAGGCAATAATAAATAAATATGCATTGAAAAACTGAATCTAACATAAAGAATAGGACAATAAACAGCACTACTCAAAGTATACAATGTAAAATGATGAAAAGTGAAAAGATATAAAAGTATATAAAATAAATATATATGTTACCATAAAACTTCTTTGAGTAATTATTCTGTTGTTTTCCATAGTGGTCTATTAGGTATATAATAAGCATCAGAAAATAATATCCCACCCATGCTTTCAATTCCACCTGAACAACAGTACAAGTTGTCTTTAATTTATAACTGTAAATGAAGCATTCTCTATTTTACATCATTTTATTGTAAGTTTATCATCTGTAAACAACATTGTCTTATATTGACCATCATCACTTCATCCATTGCATCATTGTTTATTGATACCAGCCAACAGGTATTGAAGTTGTCTCCTCTAGAACTTGGAATACAAATGTTAACACCACTGTTAAGAGTTTACTACACTATGTAATGTATTCAATGTTCATTATTTTCAGCTGCAATTTTAATCTGTCCAATGAAAGAATACAATACCTTTACCATTTTAGATTTCATTTTACTTACATATATAAAAAGATATTACTGAATTTTTCATTTTTTAACAATTACCATATTTATTTGACTAGCGCGTCCCCCTTTTAATTATAAATCCCCCTCGAATAAACCCCTTCTGGAGCCCCATTTGGAATACACGCCTCCCATTAATAAATGCAACGGTCGTTTCTCTTTCCCATGAATAAACGTCCCACCCAATTAAATGACTGTAAACACATCATTCTCAACATTAATGTTCTACTCCAATAGAATGAAATTTTTTCTAACTTGATTAAGATCAATAAGTCACTATGAATTATGATCACACAACACCACATTCTGATGGTAATTTTGCGTTGTAGTAACCACATTAAATTGAAGGGACAGTCAAAATCAAAATTTACCTCAGCCTACAATAATAATAAAAAAAAAAAAAAATCAATAGTCATAACAGGCAAAATGTTGATTTTATAGGATTTTTATGAGCTTATGTGCAAGCACTGATTATCAACACAGCTAGACGCAATGTTCCCTGAGCGCCCTCTGGTGAGATTTTGCGAAGCTTCAAATACGAGAAATGGAACATGGCGATCAGTTGATAAAGTAGAAGAAAGGAGCTGCACTGCAAGGACATTCTTTATTACTGAAGCTGTCATTGTAACATTGTAATTATTATCAGGCCAAAATAACAATGATTAAAAATTTTTATGACATCACTTTGATGATGTGACTAATCCCACTGAAATAGTTTGTGATTCATGATAGTATCACTGGTAAACCTGACTTAATAAAATTCCGCCTCCCCATACCACACTATTAAACTCCAATATTCAGCACCACATTCCGTACAACATGCCATGCAGCATGCTCTTTATGCATTGTTAAGCACCTCACTTTAGTTCTGTTGTTGTTCTACTATTGCTGTATGTGTTTACGTATGTTTGAATTGGCTAGGAGAGTCAGAAACCAGCACCCTCATTGTCATTGAGTGTGTAAAATTGCTGGTAAACAAAGCAATGATGCTGGTTTCTTCTGCTTATTTTTTACTGGTTTCGGATTAGGACATTTCATGGGTTAATTTCCAAACTTTCTCATTCCCTGTTTTTTGTTTATTTTATGTTTCCATCTTGAGACCATCCTAAGTGGATATATGGGCTATGTAAATCATATTTTTATTATTATTACTTTTATGGTTTCCACTGAATGGTTTGAAATACAATTATTGTATTACTTCCATTCTCAAGAAATGATCAAACTGCCTTATAGTTTAACTCTATGTTCAGTTACAGCTGCATATTAATTTGGTTCTAGGCAATGTCCGATATTATCCAATGGTAATCATTCTTGATAATGCAAATCAGAAAACAGTAAATAAAATTGTATCAATATAAAAAATAACTTCCTTGTAATAGCATCATCTGTATTATGTATTTAAAAAATACTAAAAATACAAATTAACTAAACATGCATTAAACACATCTACAGAACTTGCTACCTGATTGCAATTACTTTTTCTACTAGATATACAGTTCACCTCCCCTACTACGACACTCTTTAACCATATCATCCACACCTGAGATACTGCAATTTCTCATGTGAAGATAATTCAGCTTAGGAGCTCCAGCCAACAAAGTGGCAAGTGAGGAACCTTTGATGTCATTGAGGTTATTTCCACTGATATAAAGATATTTTAATTCCAACACAACTCCCCTACTAGAACACTCTTTAACCATATCATCCATTACAGCACCTGAGATACTGCAATCACTCATGTCAAGATCATTCAGCTTAGGAGCTACAGCCAACAATGTAGCAAGTGAGGAACCTTTGATGTCATTGAGGTTATTTTTACTGATATTAAGCCTTGTTAATTCCGACACAACTAAAGTACTAGAACACTCTTCAACCATATCATCCACACCTGAGAAACTGCAATTACTCATGTCAAGATATTTCAGCTTAGGAGCTACAGCCAACAAAGTGGCAAGTGAGGAACCTTTGATGTCATTGAGGTTATTTTTACTGATATTAAGCCTTGTTAATTCCGACACAACTAAAGTACTAGAACACTCTTTAACCATATCATCCACACCTGAGAAACTGCAATTACTCATGTCAAGATATTTCAGCTTAGGAGCTACAGCCAACAAAGTGGCAAGTGAGGAACCTTTGATGTCATTGAGGTTATTTCCACTGATATTAAGATCTATAATTTCCAACATAACTCCCCTACTAGAACACTCTTTAACCATATCATCCATTACAGCACCTGAGATACTGCAATCACTCATGTCAAGATCATTCAGCTTAGGAGCTACAGCCAACAATGTTGCAAGTGAGGAACCTTTGATGTCATTGAGGTTATTTTTACGGATATTAAGATATGTTAATTCCAACACAACTCCCCTACTAGAACACTCTTTAACCATATCATCCATTATAGCACCTGTCAGACTGCAATTACTCATGTAAAGACGATTCAGCTTTGGAGCTACAGCCAGCAAAGTGGCAAGTGTGGAACCGCTGATGTACTTGAGGTTATTTTCACTGATATGCAGATTTGTTAATTCCAGCACAACTCGCATACTAGAACACTCTTTAACCATATCATCCACACCTGACAGACTGCAATCACTTATGTCAAGAAACTGAAGTTTAGGAGCTACAACCAGCAAAGGGGCCAAGGAACCTTTGAATTCACTGAGGTTATTTTCAGAGATATCAAGATATGTTAATTCTAACACAATGCCTTCTTCATACAATGTGTCAATAATCTCATTCACAGTAACACCTGTCATATTACAATTAAATAACCTAAGATACCAAAGTCTTGGTGCATTGCAGACCACATGAATTAAAAATGATACAGTGATAGATTTGGGATAATGGTAGAATCTTGTAATATTATATTTGAAGTTGAATTTCTTACATTCAGCTGATAAACTACTGACAATATCATCAGTACATATTTCATGGATTTTCCTTAAAAGATGCTCTTCATCTTGTACAGCAATCAAAACATGTGCAAACAATTTGCCAATGTCAGATAATTGCTTTGTAAATTTAGTCCCTACAAATATTATGTCTCTCCATCTATTTCTATCATCATTCCTCATAAGTTGAATGATCTGCTCATCTGTGACTACCGGTTTATAGATCATGTGATGACTAAACATCCTCAGTGATTTGCATATGTCTTCAATGTGACTTTCATATTTCATTGTACCTTTACTTGGTGGCTCTTGTGAAATTAACAACTGAATGTCATCCATACCTGAAAAGAGAAGCAATTTACTATTTGAAAAATGTTATTGAAACTTAAATACAGTGTATAGTATCTATCACATATATTTTAGTTCAATATTAGGCATTTCTGGAGTCAAGATAAAGATGCTTTTGAGTGCTTTCTTCTGGGAGGTTTCCCTCCAGAAGGGGTATGGTCACGAAATCATCAGTTTGCCAATCCAATACAATGGGTAGCTTATAAAGTGAGGTTGTATATTAAACGTGAATTGTTCTCTGCTCCAGTGTCGATTGTCAGGTGCGTGCCTGCTGTTGTGTTGTTCGACCATGTGAGGCGGAGAATAGCAATGCAGTTGTGGATCCCCTGCCCGATGCTTACAGAAATTATTGTGTAGCATAATTCTGGATTATTGGGTGGTTCATTTGACACCGGCATTCCTCTGAGCTCGATGTCATGTACAGCTATCTCATTGGTACCGATTGCTCGCTTGAAGGTTCCCTCGACGCTGTCTTGGAATTCTGTCTACAGCATACAGTTTGTTCTTGGCTGTCCAAATGTAGTAGAGGAGAAGCATAGAGTATAGCGTCCAGTCTGATGGGAAGATTTTATTATTTTGTTTTTATATTTACAGTATCATGTTATCATGTTCACTATATATTGATTGGTGTAATTTGTTGGATATACATGATAATTGATTGGAGAAACATAGTTTGTTGATACTTATGTCCAATTGTCAAGCCAATTATACAATGATTGGGTACAATTCGTTGGATGTACATGATATTTGGTTGGATAGACATAATCTGTTTATACTTATGTCTATTATTATGTGCATTATATATCGACATAAATTGTTAGATATCATGACATTGGTTGAATAGACATGATTAAATTTTGAAATTAAATCAACTGAAAAAGTGTCTGTGTTCTGTAACGTCTTGGTGCGATATTGGCCTACGAGTTGGTGATCAGACACGTGATAGGTTGGTGGTTGAGATATTTGTTTAGATGCTCATACATGGAATTGAAAACAAAAATTAGATTGTTTTGCAAGTTTTAATTCTGTGTAAATAGAAATTACTTTAAATGATTTAACAGTACATTTTTCTTTTTGTGTTATAATACTATATTTGGACAGATATAAAATCATTGTAGGTATATAGGTCTCCCTTTAAATTAAAGACCCCTCAAATTAAACACCACATTGTGGTCCCAAATTAACAAATATCTTTTATCTTTATTAAACTAATTACAGACCAAAGCTGCTAAAGACCATGGAAACCTCAGTCCCAAAGTGGTTTTTTTTTGGAGGGAGAATTGTACTTTATATTTAAAGATTTCAAAAACGTAGAAGATACAATTATAGACTTACGATATAACAAGGTCAGAATTTTTTTTTTTTTTTTTTTTTTTTTTAAAAAAAGACATGACAAAGATAACAAAGCAAAGAAGTACATTACAATATTTAAATGGTTTTTTTAACATTAAATAAAAACAGAAGAAAAAAAAAAGAATAAATAAATAAATAAATAATTTAAAAAAAATAAAAACATGAGTCATTCCTTAAAATTGAAAATTTCACTTTCAAATTTAGCAAGTTATTTTCCACAAAATCAAATAGATAGCGGTACACAATATCCTTTAAATTCACACATCTTATAATTTTTTTTAAATAACAAAATCAGAAAACTACTGTAAATAATGGTTATAATTATTGCATTCTCATCACATAATTTATTTTAAACACTGTTTTTTCTTGTAAATATCTTTTCTTTTTTTCTTTTTTTTTAATCCAAGGAAATATATTACTGTATTTTAATAATGAGACATATGCCAAAAACCAGACAAAATTTTCGGGCGAATACGTATATTTTTCCCCTTTTATAGGAAATAAATTAAGAAATAGCTTTTAACAATTTTTTTTTTGGGGGGGGGGGAGAGAGAGAGGCAGCCATGTAGGTATGAAACCAGTTGACAAGCAAATCTCATATAACTTATTTTTTTGTTTGGTTTTTAGGCAGCAATATGATTTTAACACGGATTTTCATATTTGATAGCAAATTAAACCTTTTTTTTTTCATGCATATCATAAGCCACAACCATTAGGCCTATATCATATGATTTATACATTCCCATCTCTCCTTAAAGTTTGATAATTTTTGTTTCCTTCTGTAAATAAGATTTTCTATTTTGTGGAAATACCTAATTTTATTAATAAGTACACCTTTAGTAGGTTTAATCTCCATTTTTTTACAAGTAAAAATATAGAACTTGGTAATGAGTAGAATAAGGTTAAATAACATCTTATTTCTGGTACACTTTAAACCGAATAACATGGACCATTTATCTAGGTCAATATTGAGCAATGTTTTTACGTATAACCAAATACTGCTAACATACCTACAATCCCATAAGAGATGCAAAATATTTTCTGTATTGCTTTTACAAAAAGTGCATAGAGGCGAAATATCTTCAAACTTTGAAACCATTTCATTTGTTCCTAAAATTCTATGAATAATTTTATATTGGAAATATTGTAATTTGGAATCGGTGGTGCATTCAAAATTTTTGGTAATTGATGTGGAGCCCCGAAAGTAGCGCAAATTCTTCTAATGTTATTATTGCTTCATCAAAAGATTCTTGACTACCATCAAGTATAAGCGTAGTGTCATCGGCATACTGGCTTATTTTAACTTCAAATTCATTAATCTTAATTCCTTTAATGTTATTATTTTTTCTAATATTGTTCGACAGAAGCTCTACGCAGAGAATAAAGAGATAAGGGGACAAAGGAAATCCTTGACGAACACCCCTATTTAGGTTAAAGAAAGGAGTATTGTATCCATTGTTTGTTACAGAGCTTAAGGTATTGCAATACAATGTTTTGACCCATTTTATAAATTGATGTCCGAAATTAAAGTATTTGAGTGTTTTCCAAATAAATTCCCATTTAAGTCTGTTGAAAGCGCTTTTAAAATCTATCAACAAAAAGATGTCCACGAATATCACTTTGATCAGTAAAGTTAATTAGATCAAGTACTAACCTAATATTTTCTCCAATAAAGCTATCTTTCAAAAAGCCAGTTTGGTCATAATGTATAAGGGTTTCAGTCTATTTGTCAAACATTTTGATAAGAGTTTATAATCTACATTAAGTAAAGGAATTGGCCTCCAATTGTTTAAATTGGTGAGATCTTTATGTGGTTTAGGAATCAAGGTAATTAAACCCCTTCTCTGAGAATCAGAAAGGCAACCTTCAGTAAAGCCATAGTTCAGAGAGTCCACAAGCATTTGTCTAACATCATCCCAAAAACGAAAATAAAATTCTGATGGTAACCCATCACTTCCTGGGCTTTTTCATCTGACTTACGCAATAATAACATTCTTCAACTGATATTTGACCTTCACAATTGTCAATTTCATTTATAGGCACCTTGCCTTCAAAGTTAAAAGGGAAAAACTCATTATTTTTTTCAACAGGCGCAGGATTAGAAGACACATTCATCTCTTTATAAAACTCATAAATTTCATCAAGAATTTGATTTTGTTTTGTGATATTTCCATTTTTTGTGGCTATGGATGTTACTGTTTTTTTATTGAAATTTCGTTTCTCCAATTCGAAAAAATATTTTGTAGGTTTTTCACCATCTTCAATCCAGTCTACTTTTGAACGACACATTGCACCTTTTGCTTTCTCTTCATAAAGTATAGACAAGATTTCCTCTTTTTCTTTTATTTTATTTAAAAGGGAAATCGTGGGTTGATTGTGATATTTATTTTCTAGGGTCTCTAGTTCCTTTTCAATGTTTGATTCTAATATGTTTTTTTCTTTACTTTTTTTAATTAAATACATTATGCAATAGCTTCTAATTTGGCACTTTAAAAAATCCCATTTCATACCAGGATAAGCTTTGGGATTGGTTTAGAGAAGAGTTTATATAATTTTTAACTCCAACAATAAAATCATCGTCATCTAACAAGGACACATTGAATTTCCACCATCCTTTGCCTCGTCTTTGTGAGTTAGATTCAATGGTTAAAGTGATCATTGAATGGTCAGTTTTATAACCAAGTATTATCCCAGTATTTGAAACTGTATGGGAAATATGTTGAGAAATAAGAAAATATCCAACCTACATTGGATTGAGTTTTCTCTACTATTATTTCGCCAGGTAAAGGCTTTTGTATTTGGATTATCTTTTTGCCAGATATCAATCAAATTTAGTTCACTCATTATATTTAAAATGGCTTCACAAGTTTTTATTTTACCTGCCTGGCGACCACCATATTTGTCTAAAATTGGGATAATGACAATTGAGCTCCTCCAAAAATAATATTTTCCAGCTGAAATTATCTATTTTTTCTTTCAGAGTATTAAAAAAAGATGGACATTCATCATTTGGTGCATATACGTTAATAAGTGTGTAACAAATATTGTTTAACGAAATGTCTACAAAAATGCACCGACCGAAAGGGTCAACATAGCTTTTTTCAATGGAAAGATCACTATTGCAATTTAGAAACAAGGATACCCCTGCACTGTTTGTTTTTGCATGGCTAAAGATTGCAGTGTAACCATATTCTCTTTGCCATTATGTACAACTTTTCAGATCACTATGCGTTTCCTGTAAAAAGATAACAGTTAATTTTTTTTCCTTTAACCAACAAAATAGCTCTCTTCTTTTTTTATCAGCCCAGGGTCAGAATAGGTTGAGCCCAGGTGAGCACTACTGCCTTTTTAACAAGTAAATGAGATGATTCTAGAATGATTGCATGAAATGGTAATATAATGGAAACCATTTTGCCATTTTTTTGGTCAGGCATATTTATTTGTCAGGAAATCAGACAATTAATTTATTTCAATCAACATGCTATCTAAAATCTACTATGCCTCTGTACCTTTAAAAAAATATGTAAAAACAAAACTCACCTTGACTTGATTTAATGAAACTTGGTATGGAATATTCTTTTTCATGTTCCTTTCCTTTTACCAATCTTTTATGCTTCACATAACACCTTTTCTTGAGTAACATTCTTGCTACGTAGTTTCTTAGGATGCCTATATCAAATAGAAATTATAAATATCGTATTGCCTTCTAAAAGACAAGAAAGACACTTTGGAACTAGATATTAGTATCAAAATTGGGTAAAATGGAACAGACCAGTTCAGGCCCTTAGCCTGAAGAAGTTTCCACTGTTTGTGTTGGGCCATTGGGCCATGGTCTCCCCTTTGACACCTTTTTTGTCAAATTTGTAATAAATAAACAAACCAGGCTTCCTTAATTAAGTTAAATAACCCCTGAAACCCACCCATCCTGCATTCTAATGAACCTTGCTTTAAATTGTATTTCCCCTCCCCATCAGGTCTTTGTCTCACCCCTGTTAGGCAATATGAGTGCTACCATCTTAAATTAGTCAATTAGAGAGCAGCTTAGCTCAGTCGGCTAATCTGGTGGTAGCCACTGTGTGTGCGCTGAACCGTGGAGATCTCTAGGTCCCCGGTTCAATTCCCATCGCTGCCTCTCCTTGTGTTTCAGCTAGAGGGCTGAAATACAAGTTACAATTAGTGCACTGTCTTTCGGATGAGACATTTAAGCCGTTGGTCCCGTGTGCATTTATGGCCCATGTGCACGTTAAAGAACGCAGTACACTCTTCGGAAAAGAGTAGGGGATTGTCTCCTGGTGTACTGTCCAATCACCACCAGAAGGACCCCACTGGAAATAAGTCTTCTTCTAGACTTTCGTGGGCTATCCTTGGTGTTTACACCGAATAAATCCAATCCAATCCTACTAATTAATTAATAGATTGATATAAACATTGTAGTAATTTTTCAATTGCAATCTTCGTATTTGTCAATTCATGAAAATAGCAATGATAAACATATAATAATTAGTTTAAATCATACATAAATCATTAAAGAAAGGTAAATGCAGTGTTCGAATAAAGGACTCAATAATACATGGAGCAGCATGTAGTCTTGTAAATAAATGAATAAAGAAATTGTTAAATAAAATTCCTCCGGCAGGACTCGAACTTACGACTTCTCACTGTCAAGGCGAGCATCATAACCATTAGAGGCATTTTATTACACAATTTCTTTATTCATTTATTTACAGGAGTACATTCGTTGAAAGCACACCTGTACTAGCTCAACGCCAACCCTGCAACCTTAAGTCTCTATTATCGTCGTCTAATCTATTACCTCTGTCTCATAACCAGGAGCAGGGTAACAGATGTGGTGATAGAAGGTGTAAACTTTGTACTATCATAAATACTGATATTAAGTTTGTAGTACCGGGTACTAGTCACTCAATACTGCCCCCGATGTTAGACTGTTCATCATCCAATGTTGTGTATTTCATTTTTTGTAATGTTTGCAATCATGGTAATTATGTAGGAGAAACTGGTTGTAGCATAAGATCTAGAATGAATAATCATGAAATCTACATTAGAAATAATGATAGAAAATCTACATTCAGTGAGCATTTTAACTCACCAGGCCACTCAATATCTAACCTCCGATTCATCATTATAGGCAATGGTTACAAAACAATGAAAGCCAGAAGATGCGTTGGGTTTTACACCTGAACACCCATAAACAAGGCCTTAACAAAGATCTTGGCATTCTGAATGGCTATACATTTATTGATTGTTATTAGATATCACAACTATAGTTTATATCCAGCTTCTCTATCATTTCTTTGTTATCACTTAATTTATTTTTAGTTTATACCACACCTACAGTATGTATCAAATTTATTTTTTTATATTGTTCAGTACGGTTTACGCTGATGAAGGGAGCAGGAGTTCTTGAAATATTCGTAGAATAAATTGTCTATATCCTGAAATGTCAACCATGTTCATCTTTATTTTGATAACCTCGTATTGTTTTATAGTATTCGGGATATATGTGCTCCCATCATTACG